GACAGAACTGTAATTTACTTGATTTGCTTAATTTATAGAATCATGATAAAATAAGTATAAATGATATTTAGTATCTCGGCCACACATTAAGTACAGACCAGATTCTACCTGCATCTTTTAACCAACCAGCTAGTCATAAAAAGGCAATGCTGTGATCCATTTTATGGGACAGAGTGTTTTCTGATCACAAAACTTCCACATGTAGTTAGGAATGTAAAGATGTGCATTAGGTAACATTAGAAAACAGCCCAGTCTATAATAGCCTGCTAAATTATAGGGAGGAGATAATTAAGGGCAAAGTAATAAACATATATAAGTGGCTTATTATACTAGTATAGCAATCAAGCCAGTTCCAAACTGTCAATAGGTATTATATTAGCCTTTTTACCTTGGTGATTAGCCTGCTGAGTCACCACTATGTTTGCAAGTGCAGGACAGGTGGAATTAAATTTCCATCAACCTGGTTAGGGGCAGCGAACTTCTACAGAGTGCCTACTGGATGCAGCTAAGACTCAGGGGCTTCCCATGTCATCCCATCTCATGTCCACCTCTTGGGAGGAGGAGGAGGAGGAAATAACATCTCCAATTTGAAGTTGAGAAAACTGGGGCCTCGAGGATTAAGCAACTTGCCCTAAGATACAAGTAGTACATTTTGGAGTCATAATATTCAAAGATGGCTTACTTCTCCCCACAACCACCATAGAGCCCTGTTAGAATTGGGAAAAAAATAATCCAAGGCAAGAAGAGGAGCCAAGTAAACATGTCCATTCCTCTAGCTAATGTGCTGTAAAGCCATTTGACTTACGGGGGTGGCTTTCGCGTATCTTTTCAGTGTAAAGAACAGAATGGACTAAGAATATTACTTACAACTCGGAAATATAAAAAGGTTTTGTGGATAATTGGGTTGTGGCCGAGCAAATAGGCTTCCCATTCTAACTCAAGCCTCCAGCCAGCATGTGGCCCATTTTTACATCGTTCGTGATAACACTGCCGTAACAGCATCTTAAAGGACCCCGCATAATAATTCAAAAATTCTCCACATGTGGTATGAAAAGATTAGACAAGTCTTAAGCAGGCAGGGACTTAAATCCTGCTGATAATACACTGGAGAAATTATATGCCATAAAGGCAGGGGAGGGAGCAAGGGTTTAGCAAAAGGAAGATAGAATCAGGGGACACAAACCTTTCTATAAATCAAGCCGTTCTATTCGGGGTGATTATTTCATAAACTGGGTCTTGGGCTGTTGATCTCTTTAAATGATTATTACAAAATGCATGCGCTTTTGGAAAGAGTCACTGGCTGATTTGTATTTCAGACATATTTTCCATTAGTATTTATTTATTGAGAATATGGTTTTCATAATAGAGTTGATACTTTCAAATAATATGGAAAACTTGAATTCAATTTGTATAAAAGCTATGCAATTTTAGTGTAGAATTACCACATCATATTGGGGAAAACAGTGCTAAAAGGAGCTACCAAATGCATACCCAGACGAGAGCCATTTTCAAAAGATAAGATCATTTTGTCAGGGAGAGAAATAATGATGGAAATGTGCTCCCATTCCTCTTGCCTCTAAATTCTGCTATTCTTGTTAAATAACAAAATCAGCCTTTTCACTTCTTCTAAAAACACAGAAAGAATTTGGGAGAGTTCTAGAAAGAGGAGGGAGGGGAATATAGAGAAAGAAGGAGGGAGAAGGAGGAGAAGAAAAAAGGAGAAGAGGAGAAGGGAGGGGCCAATAGGAAGTGAACACTGGGTCTCTAGAATGTTCCATCCCCATCAGCAATTGGTGCAGAATTGAGCAAGCTTGGAGAAAATGAAGCGTTCCTTAAGCTGGAAATATTTTTAAATCACCAAAATGGCACTTTGTGTTAACAACAGAAGATAAAATACACATGCAATACCTATTAATCATGACCACATCATTTATTTATCCTAACGTCTGTAATAAGACAGCAAGAGAGCTGCACAGTACTCTTACTCAACATGCACTGAAGGAGCTGGCTAACTGTTTGAAGGTGTAAAGGATATTCTAACGTGCTGTTTTGGCAGAATTGTTCCTATCTACCTGTTTACTCAGCAAGAGAAGAATTTTCCAATGGCAATTCTCACTGAAGTAGAATCAGGTCACCGTGCAAATGAACAATGGCTGTAAAGGAAAGAATTCTTACTCCACCCACAGTGGTATGGACAGAGATGATTTAATAACACAAGGCTGGGGTGAAAGGCCAAAATATAGTGAGCATTCTAAGGCCGTTATCACTGTCCTTAATGAAAAAAATTCAAGGCTCCTTCATGCTTCTAAAGCAGGATGCTCCATTTTCATTTTCTGGCGGAAAGATAACTTACATCAGACAACACTACCAATGAGTCCCGTATTTTATTCAGCCAGGCATGTAGTTTCTATTTTGTGCCTTATCATCATTTATGCTAATTTTTAAGCAAAGTAAATGCTGACAGAGACCAGCGCCCAGTGGCGTCCTCTGCACAGATTCTCACACTGCGTTTTAAATAAGGAGGAATGGATGATATACCATGAGTGCGGCAGCAGTAATAAAGTGATTATTAGAAGAGGTGGGCATGATGTGATTTAGGTGTAAAAAAGGAATTAGATACTATCCTCAGCCATCAAAGGTAATGGGCCCACAGCTATTCTATGCTTCAGTTGGCAATATTCCATTTAACAACTTCTTACAAGATTCCTTACTTTAGTTGTTTTGTTACATATTTAGAATATTTGCTTCCCCAAGAAGCTGCTGATATCCATTAGTGCTGTTGCTTCATTACATACGTGTGTGTGTGTGTGTGTGTGTGTACAGTTGGCAACCATTTAACAAAACTTCTTACAAGATTCCTTACTAGTTGTTTTGTTACATATTTAGAATATTTGCTTCCCCAAGAAGCTGCTGATATCCATTAGTGCTGTTGCTTCATTACATACGTGTGTGTGTGTGTGTGTGTGTGTGTGTGTGTTTTAATGTGCCTCAGACAGCATGGAACCATATTAGGAACATACTAGATGCTCATTAATGTAATTATAATGATGTATGTCATTGTTTGTCTTTTATAAAGCTAAATGTGATACAAATAATCACTGACTGATTTTTTTTAAAATTAAGAATACAAAAATTGCAGAAAAATATTATATCCTGAGTAAATTTTTTTTAATGAAATAAAGCATTAAAATTAGTCACTGCCAAAAGAGAAAATACTTTCTTGTCCTTTGTCATGGAAATTTGGCATAAAAAGTGAGTTTTTTTTTTTTAAAAAAATAACACACCACCAGTGTTAACTGATTTCCTAAACTGGATACTTAGAAACTGGTACTTACAGAGGAAAAAATAATGTTGCTCAGTATTAGAAAGCGAGGCTGACTACCTAGGATTTTTATCAGAAATGTAATCATGGCCAGTCAGCCCTAAAAAGTGTACTAAAACCATTCTAGGCATACCATTATGGATTAGGAAGTAAAGAATTCAGAGAAACTGGGTCTTTTGCAATGAAAATGCTTTTAAGTTCTACCACTAGAAAACTAGACACAATTTTTCTTTAGAGAATTTTAGATGGGTTTTTAAACAGTCTCTCTATAGACAACATGGCATATACCATTTTTGAAAATGGGTATTTTGACCTAATTCTTTTAACTTTATAGATTAAAAAGGGCAAATATTTATAAAAGTTAACGAGTCCATATAGTATATGATTTATGAAGAGTAAGTCAATAAAGAAATTGATGACACAAATAGTATGTTACCAGAGACACCGTGAAGTGGAAATGGACATTACCTAGTGATTTAAATCCAAACAGCCAACAGAAGAAAGCATTCTTAAGAACAGAAACCTGGGAGTGGGACCAACTTTATGGGTACATGACCAGAGAAATTTCATGAGGACCTGAGCTCAGAGGGGTCATGCCTGGAGTGTGATTTCATGTCTTGCTGCAGCTGCTTAGTCCTGCAAATTACTTAAAAGAGTTCTGCCTGCACCTCTGCATTCCCTAAAGATTGTCTGCAACCTTACATCATTATGGCTTTAAAGATGCTACCTGAAATTTTATTTCTGTGAGGCAAATATTTCTAAGACTTGTGCTGCTGGCCCACCCCTCTCCCACCCCCCAACTTGTTATCATCTTGTCTTTGTAGCGGTCACCAAGTGGAAGAAAGAATGGCGATGCTGCCAAATGTAGACCATGAGACCAGCACCCAGACAATATATCTGAGCGCACCTGCTCTCTCTTCTTCAACATCTTAAGTTTTAAATAAAATAAGACTGGCGAACTGCTCATCAGTCATTAATCTTTTCAAAATGACATTAGAAATTTAGTAGAGATCAACATTTTGTAAGATCAGAAGTATTTTTAAAAGGTACAGCTTGGGGGCTGTTCCTTCATAAAGGGAGAGATCACTACAGGATAAGTTGGCCAAAGAACACTGAGCTACTTCACTCTGTGATCACACAGCTCAGTAGAGTGGTTTGTTCGCAGATAGTGCGATTGCACAATAGGGATCATCTCTATACATTTCTTGAGTCTCGGTTCCCTCTCGGGAGCTTCTTGAGGGCACTGGGTGCATGTTTAAGTTCTTTACTAAGTCCCTGCATTTAGAAGTCCTATGCCATCGTTATTTTGCCTTTGATGCTCCATTCTCAGAGACAAACGTGGGAAATCTGAAAAAAATCAGTGGAGGAGGCTGAAACCCCCTATTGACTATGAAGTGCTGGCAGGCAGGGTAAGTCACTCACTCACGTTGGAAGTAAATACATAGACTGTATGGAAGGATTAGGCTTTTGTAGTTGTTAATTTGCCAGTAAGGAGACATGGCCCAAGTGGGGAGGCCATTTTGTTAACAGTGATCTTACCTTTAAAAATCCTTGAGTTAAATGCATTGCTTCAAACATCTTCCTTCCATTTTCTCAAGAAATTTCTATGAAAGTATTCAAGGATGTGGCTGGAGGAGATAAACACTTTCTAAATGCCACCCTTCCCTTTCATACTCACACTCAGGCTGAGTGGCCACTTTGATGGGTTGCGAACTCTCCCCCGGACCCCACTCATTGTAGGCAACCACGCGGAAGGTGTACATGGCTTCTGGCTTCAGGTTCCCCACGGTGAGCTGAAGGGACCCAGGCTGGGTCGTATTCAATGCTCGTTCCCTGGGAAATCAAAGATATGGGGAAAAATAAAAATCACACCCCTACTTTAGCCCAAACCTTACTTAATGTTCAAGAGTAGTGAGGTAGAAAAAAGGATGCTTCCTTATTTAATGTTGACTCTGGGACATCGTCCAAGACCTCTGAGACTTACTATGGGAAACAAACTGAGGGCCTACAAATGGATGTTGCAGGGTGACTGGGGATTTCGAGTTTGTGCCATTTCCACGAAACTTGCATATTAAAGTATTTTCCCTTTGACACTTTATACATTTGAATTTAAACCTTATGACACAGAGCTATTAAAATAAGAAGAAACATCTGGAATGCATTTCACAAGCCTCCAGCTAATGACAGAAAATCAAGGTTTCAATTATTTCACAAATCAATCTTTGCCAGTAATGCCCACAAATGCATTTCTGCATTTCCTTTCATTGTACACAAGGAAAAGACAGAGGCTAAGTGTTGACATGTGTGGAGCATGAGCTCCTGTGGTTATGTGAAGAGCAATTAGTAAATGGAAGTGGGTCCCCTTCTGTGCAGAAACAATAACACGTCTCCTTTCCTTGTTCTTCAAGGACCGCCTACAGGTGTCCAACTCATTTCCCAATTAAAACTTCCTCAATGGATCCCAACAAATGAATCAATCTGCTGACCATGCTGGGATTCATATGTGTGTGTGTGTGTGTGTGTGTGTGTATTTTTTTTTTTTTTTGAGAGAAAACAAACCCTATGGACCTGTGCTGATATGTGAGAAACAAGAACTACTAAACTACTCTTTAAAGACACACATGATTTTAGACCTTTATACCCTCATTGGCTTCATATAATTGATTGACTGGGTGAAGAGGGAAATCCTTCTAACCTCTCAACTGTTTCTTAATGTTTCTATGTATAGATACTATCTCTTACCTCTCAGTGGAATTATATGCAGGTTTTAATTTTGCCATTTGGTTTTATTTGGTTTTGGGAGATACGGAGAATGAAACTTACTATTTTTTTTCTGCCAGAGTAAATTAGGCTTCTAAAAAGAGAAAGACAAAGTTTGAAGGGAATGAATGGTGAGTCCTGGGCATATATATTAACTCTAAAATCACTTTGACGGACACAGCAGAGACTGGCTGGCTCATCCTCAACCCATTTCTTCTTCATGTGCTGGACTCTACTTCCCAGCTCCCCTGAAGTCTAAATAAGGCCATGTGACTGAGTCTAGCCAATGGGTTTAAGTGTGTGTGATGTGTGCTGACTGTAAGGCTGGCCTAGAAAAACTACACATACAGGATGGGGCAAAAGTAGGTTTACGGTTGTTCATATGGGGATTAATACAATAATTAATCAATAATCTATAATAAAAAACATAATATGCTAATTAGACTGGGCAGCTGAATGACTTTCTGGACATCATTCCGGACGTCCTTCCAGATGAAGCCACCATGGTGGGGGCCAAGGCTAAGGTTGTTAGGGGCGATCAGGCAGGTAGGCAAGCAGTTAGGGGTGATCAGGCAGGCATGCAGAGTCGTTAGAGGTGATCAGGCAGGCAAGCAAGCAGTTAGGGGTAATCAGGCAGGCAGGCAGAGGGGTTAAGGGCAGTGAGGCAGGCAGGCAAGTGATTAGGGGTGATCAGGCAGGCAGGCAGGCAGGTGAGCGGTTAGGAACCAGCAGTCCCAGATTGTGAGAGGGATGTCCAACTGCCGGTTTAGGCCCGATCCTGTGTGGGATCGGGCCTAAACCGGCAGTCGGACATCCCCCAAGGGGCCCCCGATTGCAAGAGGGTGCAGGCCGGGCTGAGCCCCCTTTCCTCCCTGTGCATGTATTTCATGAACCAGGCCTCTAGTACGAGAGTAAACTGTGTTTCACATACAACTGTAAACCTACTTTTGCCCTCCCCTGTATGGCTTCCTTCATGTTCTCTTCCTATAGCTGTGAGGCAGGTAAACATGGTGAGCTGGAAAGCCATATACTAATGATGGAGGAAGCAAAGTTTGCATGAATTCTGGAGAAGAGTTGGGAGAAGAATTGTCTTCACCCACAAAAATCCCTTTTCTATTTTATAGAATCAAAAAGTTTTGAGCCATTATTTGTTAGAGCAGTTAGCATTATTTTATCTAGTACTGCTAGTATATTAAAATATGCACTCTGGGTCATTACCAAGGATTATGGGGAGGGAGGAATGATGAGTACAAAGTTTCAATTGGGGGAGGTGATAACGTTCTGGAGATATAGGGTGGTAATGGTTGCACAAAAATGTGAATGAACTTAATGCCACAGAACTCTTTACTGAAAATCATTAAAACTATAGACGTTATGTCATGTAGATTTTACCACAAAGAAAACACACACACACACACACACACACACACGCACACACATCTTGTATGAATTTGGGTATAGCCCAAGGTTTAGATATTTCTTTATTTCTTTTTAAAAAATAGTTGTGTGGTTTTTTTTTTAATTTTTAGAGAGGAAGAGGAGGTGTTCAGGTGGCATCAATCAGGTGCCACCTGAACACCTCCTACTGAGCATCTACCCCACAACCCAGGCATGTGCCCTGACTGGGAATCAAACCGGCAACATCTCAGACAACCAACTGATCCAGGACTATATATTTCTTTAGGAGTGCTGTGTTAAATTGCTTCAAGGATGAATTGTGACATAGTGGGGGAGAACTTGTGACTGTGTGGGATTCAATATTACTCTAAAGTAGGTAAGAGTAAAATCATGAGATCATGGTTCACGTGTCACATGTCACACTGCTCTCTTCTACCAGACCAAAATTATTTAGGACAATATGTTTCTTTGTAAAAGGAAATCCTCCCAATCAGATTGTATGCCTTGTAGATGTGAATTTTTGCATCTTATTTATTTTCTTTTAGTGGAATAAATTTTATATACATTGTCTAATATAGCCCTTTTATATAGATAGAGTCGTTTTTTTTTAACTGTTATTTTAGAGATGGGATGAATTAGTTTATGATCTATGTGGGTCATTTCCTCTTGTCTAGACCTTCCCGCAACATAGTTGTCATTGAAGGTCAGATTTTCATACCAAACTTCTTGGATATCTATAAGAAAAGATGGCTTTCAGAATTGACTTTATTTTCATAACTACTAAATAATTTAGATGAAACAGCTGTGTTCTGGGACATGCTGGCAAAACCCTTTCAACAGGCAGTCTTCAAAGGAAAAAGAAGAGGCAAAAAAAATTGGGTATGCACAGTAAAAATGCCCACGATCATAGAAGGAAAACATCACTCACACACAAAGGGGGATACTGGACTTCATGACAATGAAGGGAGTGTTAGGTGTCCTCCATCTCCAACAGCCTCCCACCATATCCCAAATTAACAATAGTCATGAGAAAAATGACACTCATTTGGACAATTGATCATCTCTCAATGTTACATAAAGCATGAACAAAGGGTCTTTAGAAAATACTTCTTTGGGAGAGATCTGTAAGAATACAATGTAAGCCAATACAATCTGCTTTAGAGAAACATGGCTTCAGAGACAACTCCACGGGCCCTCCTCTAACCATAGGCTGTTCCTGCCCAAGATTGTCCACTAGTTTCTTCAATGTGGGCTCTTAATTTTAAATAATGATTTAACTACATGTGTCTTTTTCTTTCAGAACTCTACTTATCACATCACAATGGGGTGGCAGCAAAATGCTATGTAGAGTGGATTCAGGAGTCTTAATTGGGGTTTGTTTGGGTTTCCTCATGAACTTATCTGAGCCTCAGATTGCTCGGATGCTAATTGTTGCCATAAAAATATTTTCCTTAGAGAGTTTCTAAAGAATAAATGCAAACCACCTCACGTAGTAGGAGTGGTGCCTGGTACTCCCTATGGCGTGTTCTCTATATGGTAGTTAGTGCTGTCATTTTTATTATTACAACAAAACACAGCCATAACCTCAGAGAAAAAGAAGTGCTCTTGAGTCCAAGAAGAGAACTTTTCCACAAAGTATTCAGATATAGGTCTATGAGGAAATAAATTAATAAGAGGTACAATCATCATTTACAAAAAGGAAAATAAACAGATTTAACTGAGCTATGGGCCTGCCCCCATTTTTTTTAAATGTTCTGTCAGATAAATTCTGCTTGCAGAGATAAGTTAAATTTAAAAAAAAAGTGGTCATAGATATTTAACAGGTTCCAATAATGAAAATAGTAATATTTTTAAAAGTGGAGTTTTCGTTGACAGCAACCGAGTAGCTTGTTCTCAGAGTTCCACCACAAAGCGGACGCCCTGTCCTATGTGATGTCCGCGCCAGTGTTGGGGTTTACAGCCAGGCTGCCCTGATGCCTCCTCAGGTCCTACTGGAGGAACATCAAACGCTAACGAGATACCAATGGATTCTGGGAAAACGGCACCTGCTGCCACCTGGCCTTTCCCAGAGTTGCCCAGTTACCAGCCCAGAAGATTCACAGGAGGCACCTGAGTCCTCCTGTCAGGCTTTCATATCTGAAAGCAAAATCTCGCAAGACATTTCCCAACAAGAAAGTACAACCTGTGTTTGGGAAGGCAGCTCAATCCTCTGTCTCCAGGCCCACACAGGGCAGCGCCAGCCCCTGAAGCAGCTACACATACTAGTAACATGCACATCTACCCAGCGAGGCATTAGGTTTCCCTGCTCCTCCAGGCCAGGCCTCCCTATAAATGGGCAGATAAGCGAGGAGGTTCTGAAGAACAAAGAACAGGAGATGTTAAGACTTTGCCCAATTACTGTGTTCGGGTGTCCTGCCTGTCACTGTCATTGCCCTGACAGCTCCTGGCTTTGCTGCTTCTCAGGATGTTCTCTCCGATGGCTCTGAAGACGTGATGGCCCTTCAAATCCGCAGAGCTCAGGGTCACGGTGTCTACTGTCAGACAAAACTTCATTACCCCACTCCTTCCCCCCACTCTGAGTTAGCCGTGTGGGGTTCAGGCAAGTTCAAGGTAAATTGACTGAAGTACAGGGAGTAGGTCACTTGAGCATTCTAGAATCCCTTCACATGAAATTC